ATTAACATGTTTCAAAACAATTATAAATTGAATCAAACTCACGGCTAGCTGATTAGTAGCCGTACATTGCTACCATTACACCAATGCGCCCGTCAATAAAAAAACGTAACTCTTACTTTATAACAGTATTGTTTATTACAATTTTAATGTGTAAGTGTACTCGTAATTCCGTTGAGTGATTCTGTGACAAGTGAAACAATCTCGCTTGCGTTACGTCTGCCTATAATGGGGCCACAGACTCTCAGTGTTGGGACATCAGTCCCAACGTAACCGAATGGACTCCTTTTCAGAGGCTGCTATATTTTTGAATTTAATTAACAGACAAATTTAATTTCTATTCACTTCTCCCCATATTATGTTTGTATATTTTCTTAGATATTAGTTATGAATACAAGCCAAGTATATTTATAATTCAAATTTATTACATGTGTCTCTTTCCCTTGTCGACACTTGGTGGTCGAATTTTGATAATGGTTATTTGATGACTAGTGTTTTGTTTTTTCTGAAAATATAATTTGTTCCAGTATCTAGCCGAAGACTTCCTTAGAAAAAATATACAATTCAAGCATAGAGGCTAACAAAAGGTCAAAATGCGTGAAAAAAAATGGCAACATCAAAACAGTTGTGACAATATAGAGACGAACCCTAATACCTTAGAGACCCCAGCTGGCATTACATTTTACTCGAAAAGTATCATAGTGTATACTAGGTACCTAGTGTATGATTTCAAGAACTTTACTAAAACTATTAGTCAACAAAGCTAATTCTTATCAAAGACAACTAAGCAATTACATAAAGCGTAGGATAAGGAAAAACGCTGTTAGCACAGTGAAGACATATCTCCGAAATAAAACAGCTCTTACACAATTACAGAACTCGAAGGAATTTGCATACTACGTCCTTTATCTTTTGCCGCCCCAAGATTTCGTATCGCACTGCAATCTAATGACCCAATTTCACGACCGAAGTAGGGCACAATAACATTGTGGCGAGTCATATTTTTTTGTTTATCCCGGTATGGAGGAAAACGCGAGTGCTTGTGTATATAAGCGTCGTATTATCATCACAAAGGGAGATATGAGAATTGATAGTCGTACATTCAAATGAAGTGCTAGTACCTGGTAAAAGTGTAATATATTTATAAGATAAGGAATTTTTCATTCACAATGGTTAATTGGTAAGAAAATAGTACATTATGATATAAGTGCGGTAAGTTGAAAATTACAGCCGAGGCGATATTACTAGCCCGAGCCATCGGCGAGGGCTATAAGAAAGCAGAGGATGTAATTTTCAAAGCGCACGTATGTCATACAACGTTTTATAACATATTTACAAGGAAATTAATAAAACTCTAACTTAGTTAAACGAATAAATCTTTAATTAATTGAAAAGAAAAAGCGCGCCGAATTATTTTTACTTGTCCACAAATAGGCGATGCGCGCGCATCAATTTTTTTTTTAGGCAATAGGTACAAAAACAGCCAGTATTACTAATATAGTAAATAAATGTTTTTGTGTTTTTGTTACAGATAAATGGTTGTAATTTATTGTCAAAATTAATTAAATTAAAGAATTAAATATTTATTTGTTATATTTTATTATCCAAAGTTAATTTTATTCATAAAAAATTGACCACTTTCTTGACATAAAACCTCTTTGCTAAGATTTTTAAAAGTATCGTTCATTTTTAGACGGAGTATCTTAAAACTTTATTTAAAAAAAACACGTGCCTTTTACATTACAATATCGCACAAGTACGTAATGACAGTACGATATTGAAATTGGTGTAATTACAACCACTTTACGAGCAAATATGTTATAAAAATACTTAACCAACTTATAGCATACAGCTATCGTAAATACACGTAGATAATTATTAAGTGTAGTAAATTTAAATAAAAAAACACTTTTAACGGTTTCAAATGCGAAATATATTAGTCAACGTATTTACAATTTATCAGAACTACTTAAGGCCCAACGTATTGGATACTTTGCAGCAGCCGTTGTCACGGGTAACTAATATAGTTTGCGTTTTAAACCGATAAAAGTGTTTTCTTTAAATGTGTATTACAAGCGTTAACTACAGAATTATAGACAACACTTAAATGTTATAAAGCTGTACATAGGCTATATACATCTTCGATAAATTATAAAGATAGTAAGTTTAAATGTATCCGAATAAAATCATAGCCGGGTACCAAAATTATCTGCTTGAGCTCGAATATAAAATATGGTAGTAGTTTCCTCTTCTATAGCAAAGGCACCCATATCACATTACCGCTATTAATTAAATAAAAAACATTTCGCGCCGATATTTACAGCGTCCATAAATCAGAACGCGAGCTACATTGTTTTATGGAAACCGGCGTCCGAGGGACACTAAACGCAAATATGCTGTCCGATTCTGCTATTTGCACTTGCCTCTCGATAATTACCTGTCGAGAGCGAGTGAACCATTTACCATTCAAAATATAATGAAAACATACTCTACAGTCAAATAAAACACTTTTAACGCCTTAAAAAGCGAAATGTATTAGTTAAACTTATTTGCATATTGTTGTAACTATATAATTCATAAATTGTAAATAAGTTTAACTGATACATTTCGCGTTTTAAACTGTTAACTTGTATTATTAAAACGTGTACCACGCGCATAAAATTTATCACATTTTGTGTGTTTTCTTAGATAGTATATCTGTCTTTATAAAATTCGCAACCAATTAAAAACCAATAGTCAACCCCTGTAGCACTTAACACTGGATTTTTTACACACAAATATGCCATTTCGTGAACGCCTATGTGTTGCTCAGCATTACTTATTTGTTTAATTGCAATTTCCTGTCTGTCTGAACTCGCTTGATTCTCACAGTTTTGTCGCTCGACTGTCACTGTCCGTGAATTATCAGAATTAGGGCTATATATGGACACGCTTCAAACTCAATGCTAATTAGTGAATCACACCACTGAACATGATCAAAGAGAACGCTTGTTGATATGGTAATTGGAAATTCTAAATCGGTTTATTTGAATTCCATTTTGGTCAGGCTCTTGAACTTAGAACGTGTTAATTAAGGAAAATCCGAAGAACGTGTAACGTTCGGGTATTTTTACTCGCCTGTGCGGTTTAAGGGTAAAAGGTAGCGGAGTTTTTGAGCCGATTAATCGTGAACTTGTGGTTTTGTATATAAAGAAATTAGGTTTTTATAATAAGAGAAACAGCAAATAGAGTACTGGGTGTTAATTTATTCTTAGAAATACAGAAATCATTATTAACGACAAGCGTTTTCATATCAAAAACTCTAACTCTATAATGTCTACGTACCCAAAAAAAAAATTAATTAATTGTCAATAAAATGGTTCAAAAATATTACTGACCGATTCAAACAGATGCGACGAAATTGCACATAAAGTAATTCTTATTACGTCGTGTTTATGAAAGGGGTAACCTTTGACTGTCCGTCACCTGATGTTTTACGAAAGTATATCCTAGGTAGCATCGCTATTTTAGTACCCAATTCATAGTAGTGTTTTATTTAAATAAAAAACGCGATATATACTTTGCTAAACTTATTTGATAACTATTTTAACTAAGACCCGACGTTGACCCTGTGTCTCCCCGTGAAAAATCGGAAAGTTTAGCTAATATACATCGTGTTTCAAACCGTTAAAGTGTTTTATTTAAATATCCAAGTTGTTAAGTATTATCGGCCAACTATGTCCCTATGTCCAATTATCGTGCAAAATTCGTCCCAAATACAGTTCAAATGTGCAGGTAAGACTTTGGCATTCTTCCACGAAACAATATTCAAGGTTTTATATTTAAATTATTCACAAGTGCATTCGCCATTTCTTTTTATCTCCTGAATAGTGCGCCTGTATTCTGAAGACTCATAAAATGGCTGCAATAAAGTATCTATAGGTACTAAAAATAAACCGTAAGGTATAAGTAAGATTATGTAAGGCGTCGTGTTTTTTGTTTAAACTTTTTTAGACAAATTTTACTGTAGTCCCCTCCATGGGCCATGTGACAATACTATTTTAAATAAAACACTTTAACGGTTTAAAACGCGATATATTTCAAATTTTAAAAATTATTTTAACTACGGCTCGACGTTTCGGATGCCTTGCAGCAGCCGTGGTCACGGAGACACTCAATACTCGGTCCGTTTCGGTGATCACTTTTACTGATCAACTTAATCAATTAAAAATAAACTTCAAACTGGTGATCAACTGGTGTTCAAAATAGTTTTTAATATTTTATGATATATATAGCCCTATATTACTCTAGTATTGTGTTTACTGAAAGCGTTCTCTTACTTTTCTTCAATCGCCTTTATCTTAATTGAAAGTAACAAAACAAACATCTCTTGGCACAATTATTACCGAGAAAACAGGCATGTATGTTATACTTGCGACGTAATAACTTGTAGGCGAGAAATATCACTTATCTATGGTTTATATAAGACCACCTCTGTAGCCAAATGGTTAATCGTATTGCCTAGCATTGCGTTAAGCGTGAGAGGTCCTGGGTTCGAATCCCAGAGAAACAAAAAATTGTTTCGGTCGGATCAACTACTTGCCCGTTAAAGAACGGATCAGTGAAACGAGCACAAAAATGTGTTTGCCCCATGCCCCACGAAGGGGAAACGGGATTTCACTTCTGGTTTATAGGTTGACATAATATCTGTAATGTATAAAAATCATCAACACTTTATATCTCACCAACATCTTACTATCGACAATCTTCAGAATATGCTTTACTTTTTAAACACATTTAATACCAGTCCAAGTTGACATTAATTGTAAAATATCTTTAACAATGTTAAAGTGTTTTATTTAAATGTGTACTACTCGCGTAAACTATAGACAGTATTTAATGTTAAATGTGTAATATAAATTCACCATTTCAAACACGATGTAATATATGTGATGCATATGCCGTCGGGTCATAGTTGAGAATAAATTGAACAGTTATATAGTTAAGTTAAACGCACAACTTACATCGCACTACTAGCTCTTCTATGCAGCAATTGCAAGAGGCTGCCATCAGCTGCTGAAGAGCAGAGGCTCCTAGAGCGGGTCCGTCTCTCCCCACGGTCACCGCGCTCCCGCCACCTGGTCACCAGCGACTCCAAACACAACATCGCGCTACCATCGCACACCATCCGTCTTGTTAAATATAACAATTCGTATTTTCCACCCTACCATATACAATCATACCCGAGTTTTGACCCCAATTGTAACCATGCCAAACAATGAACTTTGTCACCGCGGTTCACGTATAAAATCACTTGACAGCGCTGCGTTTGTTGCGCGTAGAAGATCGTGTTTTGTTTTTTAAGTTTCCCGCTTCCAGTGGCGCTGCAAGTCGAGCAATGCGCCGCCCGCGGCTGCTGCCTCAAGACTGGAAACTGAAAACGCTTGAACGATAGGGTAAGGGTAGGCCGTGTTAACCTTACGACACCCTTACCCAGCCTACCGCATGTAGTGTCCCCATTGTGTCGAACTTCTTTCAACTTCTTTTGATGGACGATTCGCGTGAACACTGTTGATAAGAGGGTTTAATTGGCATTTCCTTTATGATTTAAATAGCATTAAAGTGGCTCGAAATTTCAATTTCAACGTTAAAAACCATCGTATTATAAAACGCATAGTTTTATAATACGATGATTTTTAACGTTGGAAATATGTTTGACGTGGACGGGTCACTACCGGTAATTCAATTGGTAGATACACTGTTGATCGTGGGTTCACATCCCAATAAAAACATTAAAATATATACGCATAGCGAGGATTTTGATGTAAATAATGTAGAATAATAAACATAATAGTGTATATGTAGAACAAAATACTTCTTATAGTAGTAGGTAGTAGATAGTTCTTATTTTAAATAATTTTAGTGTTTTATATCAACAATACTTGAAAGTAAATATTTCGTTTATAAAAAAAAAAATATATCACTCTGTGGGCGCTAGCTGTCCACAAAATATGTTATAACATAATTGACATTGAAGCAAAGGTATTGTTCACGAAAAAATTTCTGTTAAAAGCACGATGAAGCTCGCTCTCACGAGCTTTGCAAATGACTTTACAGTCTTATCATTCTCGAGAGGACAAAAACGCCGTCGTACGAAGCATTGCGAAGTTTTCTAAGACATTTCCCTTTTATTTACGTTTTATTTGTCCGTAATGGAGATGTTGAACTATAAATTACAATAGATCGTATTCTTGTACAAAGGAGGTAAGATAGCTAACTTATCTTGTTACCTAGTTCAATCTTGTGGAATTGTTGTGAGTAACAATAAATGTACGAAGTTTAGGTATTAATTCAGTAGTTATACCTAGTTTCGATTATAAGGTTTCATTTGTTGACTCCTTTGTAACATTAGACCCAAAGAGTTACATCACAGGAGTAAAATAAATAAATAAGGAAGAAATAATAAGGCTTTTTTTTAGCCTTTGGTTGCATATCATGTACATGTTTTATAATATAATTATCGACATCGCTAAGAATTTTCATTGCTCCTGAATAAAAATCGACCAGTAATACGAAAATTATACTACTCCATTACACACGTATAGAAAAATTATTTTCACACTGTAATTAGTAGTTAGTTGAGGACCTTAAATAAATTAAAACCTTTAAACGGTTTAGAACAGGAAATCTCCGTGGCGACAGGTGCTGAAGAATATCCAAAACATAAGGTCGTTGTTAAATACATTGACGAATGAATTTCGCGTTTTAAACGGTTTAAAGTGTTTTTATAATTGTGTACTACTCTCGTAAGCTCGACAATACTATTGTTTAATCCCAATACTATCTTAAAACCCATTTCGGGAATCCCATACATGGCTGCGACGCAGTGTAATCAATTGTAGAATAATCTGGGTCAGACCTGAGGCACTAAGGTCATAACGTAGCATTACATTCACTTTAAAGGTTTGGCATCGGATGCGTTATAAAGCGTTCGTTGACTTGACCTAAGCTATGTGACGTGACTATTAGTTCTAACTTAACAGTCCTGGGCTCGTAAAAAGGTTCTATTCGCACAAATTTTATGTCTAGCTAATTAGGTGATGAGTATTGCCTAATCTAGGGCTTTCGGACGTTAGGTCATGTCTGTGATAAGTCGGGTCTACTCGTTAAGTTTCAACATATATAAAGGTTTTTTAAGCACAGTGGTTAAATAAAAATCAATAGCAAATAAGTGTAAATAATACAGTTTTCATACTGTCTGTAGTTAACGGTTTAAAACACGAAATGTATTAGTTAAGCTTATTTGAAAATTATTTTTACGTTTGGCCTGACGTTTCGGATACTTTGCAGCAGCCGTGGTCACGGGGAGACTAATGATGGAGGATATTGTCTCTGACGTCAAAGTAAAAACTGCTACGCTAGCGGCATCTGTTCCGTCGAAATGTCGGGCCGAAATTAAAAATATTTTTCAAATAAGTTTAGAATATGTATCGCATTTTAAACCTTTAAAGTGTTTTATTTAAATATATTTTTTTTTGTTTCAACTTTTAAAAGTGTAGGTAACTTAACTATAAAACGCTCACCGATGGAAAAATCTCGCGATAACGAATAAGAATGCTTAGCACAACACGCAATTATGCCACGAACAGCGGCGAATGGATAATGGGGGCAATGTATAGCTAGTAATCAACGGTTTGTGGCTTCGATCCCACTTGTCACCACTGAGCAGGTGTGCATATTGTTGATGCTACTTGAGCATTGCTAATAAAAGACTGACTCCTATAATAGGTGCGTTAAATGTACAATACAGAACTAAATCTGAGATACAAAATGCAATCGGCACAATACTCATAAAAGGAATTAGTAAAGATTATAACGGTTTAAAACGCGATATATTAGTTAAACTTATTTGAAAATGATTTTTAACTTCGGCCCGACGTTTCGGATGCTTCGCAGCAGCCGTGGTCACGAGAAAACATTCTGCTGCAAAGCATCCGAAACGTCGGGCCAAACTTAAAATCATTTTCAAATAAGTTTACTAATATATCGCGTTTTAAACCGTTATAATCATAGAGAATAGTATCTAAAGATTATAATGCAATAATTTTAGGCGACCTCATCACCCCGTAGATAAAATTCAGAGATTTTTTTAACTAAAGCAAACATACAATTGCGGTGTAAAATATCAAGACTTAATTAATTACAGGAATTTGATGTCTATTTGTTTAAGGCTTTAAGTATTCTATTGTTTTGCATTGTTTGTTTCGTTTCCAAATAAAATAAAATAAAATAAATATGACATTGTTTTATTAATTACGAGTAATAAACAATTTGGATGTAAATTCTATGATTTTAATTAACATAAAAGTTTATTCAACTTTATTGTAAGTCAATTGCCATTTGCTTTTATTAAACAGGAAGAGACAAGTAGAAGGTTACACGATGGAAGGTCAACTGATTAAATACCAACTCGAACTTTTCATGCATTTCAAAATGGAGAGCGGACATTCATACCAACAAATGCTGGATGAAGCTTTCAGAAAACGATTTAGAAACTTTCTGGACCCAGTGAAAATCGAAGCCTACGACCCTCCAGTCACTAGTCCAACATACTAAAATATATAAGAATCCACTGAGCCATAGTAGGTACATAGAACAGAAATAGAAACGCGATCGTTGTCACGTTTTTCATTACTGCGACAGGCAATGTTATAAATCTAACGGATGTTGCGTAAGCCTCTATAACAGTTTACAATCAATTTTGAATTTAGAATATCACCATTATTACATTTATTACGTAAGTAAGATTGGAACAAACTTGGACGAAGTCAGTATTTCATCTACACTTTGCTTAAATTTTTTATTATTCTAATCCTAACATAAAACTAGGCCATAAAATCCTTTAACGGTTTTAAACGCGATAGATATTAGTTAAACTTATATAATAATTATTTAAACTCCGACTAAAGCCTGAAAAAATATGTCTCCCCGTGACCACGGGCTCTTACAAAGCATCCGAAACGACGGCCTGTACTTGAAATATTTTTCAAATAAGTTTAACTAAATTTTTCGCGACTTCAACGGTAAAAGTAATTGATTTAAATATAACTACTGCTATTTTCTTAAATTGGAAAGTGTGGGTACTTCAATTACTATTCTTTCTTCTTTTTAAAATGATAATTGTGCCTATATCTCTATGTACTTAGAGTTTAATAGATGTCGTTGTTTTTAATAAAACCACAAGAGTAGAATATAGCTGGAATACAAATAAACAACAGGGTCATAAATTATATAACAAGCAAACAATGCTATTTGAATTTAGACTTACTTTACTTTGTTGGTGAAAGTGGTGGTAGTTTTACAGGCATTCAAATACCAAGCTTTTAAATAACAAGCAACCGCTTAAAAAGAAAGGTATATTTCACCAAGGTGCACTTGTTACTTGATTAAACACACTATAACGTTCTGGGTTCGACTACCGGGGAAACAATCGTTTGTTGATTGCCCTTTCTTACAGACATAGAAGTGCGTTCACCCCATGCCCCCCGTATTCTCATATGGGATTTTACTTTATCATTCCGTTTCGGGCTATTCGGTAGACGGGAGCGACAAGAGGTTCTCGACGTTACGCCATCACGAGCGGACGGGATCATCAGGAGATGTTGTTAGCGCCTAAATTGCTCAAAGAATTAATTCTTTTGTCGAGACAGTCAAGAGCGCTTACGTCGGTCAAACAGTGCGAAAAACAATGACGCCCTTTTGCTCAAAGATTCGATGGCCGTGAAAGCCTTACAAAATTCACGGAATTTCACTCTTTTGAAGAAACACACACCTTAACAACTTGTAAGTATTATGTGGAATATCTTTTTAAAATTAATAAATATTCATAAATGCAGTTTTCAGATTGACGTCAATTTTCCGAAAGGAGCTGAAGTGTTTCCCCAAGCAAAATATTTCTGAGTTCCAGTCCAGTTACTCCAAGAGTACATTAAGTCGCGATGAAATCGAATCACACGATATTATAATATTGTGAAAGGGTAGTGGTCTATAAAGGGATTGAATCTCGGTTGTATTGCTTATCAATATTTATTGCTTTCTGAGATTGAATTTTATGTACAATACATTATTTTATCATATTATATTCAAATATATCACATAAGTAAGTATCTATCTCCAAAAATGAGACTTCTCACTAGCTGTCTATTGTGACTTGTTGCCCGATCAATATTATCATACTAAGTAATTTTGTTTAAGTTAGTTAACTTAAAAAGTAAATGTGTAAATTTGAAACATCGTTCCTTCTACAAGTGGTACATGGTGCAGACATAGTCCTTACGAGTATTATTTTATTACACTTTTCCGTGATTATAACCCAAGACCTTTCAGTTTACCATTGAGTTACGATTGACGGTCTATTACAATAAGAACGTTATGGAAGATATGTCTGCGGTTAAAAGCCCCGATTATGCCTGTCCAAAGTTGGAAAATGTTCAGCTTGTAGTTAACCGTAATGAGACAGATAACAATGAAGATGTTAAACAGGTTTAGAATCGCGGCCAAATTAGGTAATTCTCGGCTAATGCAGTCTATATAGAATCATACAATATGCAGATTTTTAATGTAAGCAAAATGGAGTTTAATTTAAATAAATAATTTTTATTTTTACTGCGCAATCTTATTTACCAAGTTAACACAACAGCTAACGTCCTCTATTGAAAAGCTTAGGTATAAGAAAAAAGCATTATCTTCCACGCCATCTTGCGTTTATCTTATGAATGAACAAACTCTGACAACATTCTTCTACACACAATTTTTTAAATTTAGATTATGAGTAAACATTTTTTATATTTAATGATAAGTGTATTTTTGTAACAAGATTTTAAAGCTATTTTACTACTATTTTGACATAAGCCTTAAAAATATGGCATTAACTTCTCTAATCCACGACTATACTAAGCTTAGAATCGCAATATATTACTAGATGGCGCTGTACTCAGTCAGTACAATGACATTTAGTATGACGTCCTCGTTTGACAGCTTCTAGGCGTGACCATTGTATTAATCGCATAAAATTTTTATCGAATATCTTAACTAAATTATTCATAATAATAAAATATCTCAAGGCTTGTGTTTTCGAAAAGTGAACAAATAATCAGTTTCTTAGTTTTGTAACCATTCTGTATGAAAGGCTCACTTTCACAATGCTACACAAAAAATATCACCAATTCAAAACAATCTCGTTATCGATTACACATATTTGCTTACAACACTAGTCCAGTTGTTTACTTTTACTATTTAGTGTTTACATTTTTAATTTAGTTTCGTGGTATTATATGTGGTGATATAAAGTCAGTTGGATATTATTAAAATACAATATTTAGTTTACTATGTTTTAGGTTGAAAATGAAAAATTAATATCAAAATAATAAACTTACCGATTCTTGCAACCTTCCAAAGAAGAGCTTCGATTTTCAGGTGTGTATTTCTTGTGATGGACACTATTTAATTTATTTTTTAATTTAATACTAAGCCGCTTTGGACTTCCAGTTAATTTCACACCAGACATAATGTGTATATATGTGTTGTTACTGAAGAATATTTTCTTGTTCCATTATGGTTTAAAAACTAATACTATTGTTTAGTTGACGTATTTATTTATTTTTTTAGATGATCATGGAACCGGACCTAGAAGAAGAACCTACTGAGGAAGACCATGCATTTGCATTTGAAACAGACCACTTAGCGTTAAGAGGAAATAAGGACTACAGTGAACTTTTAAAGTATATTATAAAATTGGAAACTCAAAAAGCACAGGCATTGCAACATATTGAAGAATTAAATGAAGCTAAGAATAAAGCAATAGAGGAGCCCTTAGAATTTATTGAAAAGTTGAAAAATGGTAGTTTAAGCTTTCCTCCGAGACAAACAATATCTGATATACCTAAAATTGAATGGGAGACATATGGAATTGATTTGATGGCTCAAAATCAGAAAGACAATAAAGTGTTAGGAGATACTGAAGCTGGACTGAAAGTGAGGGGGCGAACTTTCACAGAGAATAAACCAGAAACATTTAACCAACTTTGGTCATTCGAGGAGCAGAAGCGACTGGAAGAGTTACTTGAAATATACCCAGAAGAACCTATAGAGGCGAGACGTTATAAAAAAATAGCTGAAGCTCTTGGCACAAGAACTCCAATTCAGGTTATGAGTCGTGTACAAAAGTACTTTAATAAACTTGCAAAAGCCGGCTTACCAATACCAGGACGGGCGCCGAAACAAAATAGAATTCCCAGGGACAAAAAACATGTGCTGTACAAGAAATCTACATTCTTCCCAAGATTACAAGTTCCAGTTAAAATGGATGATCCTAACGACGAAGGTATAGAGGAATTGGAATCGCAAAGCTTAGAATCTAAGAATGGAAATAGATGTATTTTGGATTTGTTGAGAGCAGCCAAAGCTCAGAGGATATTGGATGAGTCATCACCAGTCTATCAAATGAAGACTATGTGTGTGGGGTGCAGAAAGGTCGGTTTTCTTGGTGCAAGATGGACAGATAATGCTGGAACTGATTATTGTACAGATTGCTTAGTGCAGCTAATGCCGAGTGAGAAACTGACACCAGTTCGATTACCAATACCTTAGTCACCATTATTGATTTACTTTTTAGTACAATTAGTAATAAATGAAACTTATTTCACCATTCATTAATTACTGATTTTTAATTCTGTGTTTTAATGTTTTGTCACTTTTCTATCAACACTTAAACTTGTCTAAAACCTTTTATTGAATTTTTCTTTAATTTGATGATTATCGGGGCATGAATTACATGTAATATTAATAAAATATTTAAAATAAAATGTGCCCTGATAGTGCACCTGCCGCGAGAGATGATGAACCACTGATTTGGAACACTGAGCACAAACACCTATCGCATCTAAACTATAGATCTAACTAGGGACTCGATCTATTAGCTACTCTATAGACAAACGTTTGTAGCATTGATTCATAAAGATGACCCGTTTTAATTGAGATCACTGGGATGGCTCAGTAGAGTGAATGCTTGAGAGGAGCTGGTTTGGAATTTTGGAAAAAAAAATAAAGTGCCTTTGTCAAGTCTTTTTATAATAGAGCAGGACAGACAAGAATGGGATTCACTTTTTAGGAGGTGAAATAGGCCAGCCATATTATGTATTCTGAAGAAGTTGCGTTGTCGACCTATTTGGCTTTGTATATTCAGAAATCCACAGACTGAAACTGAATTGAAAATGGTACGTGACCCGGACGGAATGTTGATATTACTATCACCCAACATGTTTTTGCAAAATTATAAATTGATTTTAAACATGTTACCTAGTGGGAATTCGAATCTACGACACGTTGATTATTATCCATAGATTGATATTATAACACGACCGATAAAATAGCCAGAAAGAAATTATTAGTAAATAGTAGTAAAGTGTAGAAAGGTTAGAAAATGTGAGTTCATCATTTTTTTTGTCTAAATGCTTTAATACGAAAATTCTAATTTCGAATTCTTATACCATAAACTTCAAACATAAGTGTGTAAAAACTTCTATTAAATTTAATAAAACACAGATTATATAAATACTTAGGTACAAATAATCAAATGTATGTCGAACAAGTTAAAGTTTATATATATCATGAAATTCTGAAAATGTTACTTTTATCTCAATTTATGCGATCTCATTAAAAGATGTTTGATGTAGACATTTAATGAAGGTTATTTACTTACCTACACATAACATCTCTGAAAATAGAGTGGGAGTAAAAATAATTTATAGCAACAAACCACATAATATTGCAGAGTTTCACTTCGAATTTTTTACTCGGCTCCGCTGCACAATGATTTGTGCGAAATATATGTTACTTCCATCTTTAAGACCGATATGCACTAGTATGGTATTAATCTATTCTTTATAAAGATTGGTTTTATATAAATTGAAAGATATTGTTTCCTGTCTATAGTTTACGCGAGTAGTACCTACACTTTTAAATAAAACACTTTAACGGTTTAAGACGCGATATATTAGTTAAACTTATTTGAAAATGATTTTTAACTTCAGCCCGACGTTTCGGATGCTTTGCAGCAGCCGTGGTCACGGGGAGACGTCGGGCCTAAGTTAAAAATCATTTTCAAAAAAAATTAAATATAAAAGATATTGTTTTCGATAAACGAAACGTTCATAAATAGTTTTATTAAGAGAAATGAAATTTATTTAATATGAATACAACTCTAACGCTGTATTTGGATGTAGATAAATTGGTGCAGAGATTAGAACATTGCAAATTTTTACAAATAAATAACTTGAAAAGAAAAGAGAAGAAGTTGGAATAACTTAACTAGAGTAACATAATTTTCATACACTTAGGTTTGATACATTAACGGATTTACTAAATTTGAAACTATTAAGATTGAAAAAAAATTAAAACACGGGGCCTTATGAGGCAGCCATTATCATAAGCCAAAGTAAATAGAATTCTCATTTATATAAAGCCATAATGTGAAAAATTAAACATGGATTATAAATTGAAAAAATTACAACTCTGGCAGGACTTGAACCGGCATCGTCAGCGTTCCGTGCAACAGCACGGAACGCTGACGATGCGGACGCCGACTCGATAGCTCAATTGGTTAGAGCAACAGCTCTAACCAATTGAGCTATCGAGTCCGAGTCGGTACGATGCCGGTTAAAGCCCTGCCCGAGTCGTATGCTTTTTTTTACTTTATAAACGATTTTATTTTATATAGTGCCATCATGTGCATAATTATGTTTTAACTAAAGTCGAGCCGTGTGTTTACATAGCGCTACGTAACTGAATAAATAACCGTAAAAAGTGAATTTTAATTTATATTATATGCTGTACAATATTTTTGTAGAACTGTCATGCTGGCCAGTTTTACTCAGATTTAAAAATGTTTAATCTTCTCTTTTTATGATAGAGAAGGATAGACAAACATGAGATCAACTCGGAAGCTGAAATATCCCAGCCATAAAACATGATGTGTTGCCGACCAATATTGGCTTTGGATAATCAAAAATCCATAATAAAACCATAGATAATGCAGTTTTTAAAATGATATCTACATTTATGTTAGATCATAAACGCTCCATTCGTTGGTTCGATTTACACTGAGCACATGTAACGATGTAACCATCGCCGTCAATTCGCGTCAGTGATTTGTTCCGCAGGGTTCAAAATTGTGTGTCAACTTGAAATCCAATTTCGATCACGACCCGCCGTCTTTTCTCTTTAGACTTCAATAGTCGCTTCTGAAGATACCGAGGAGTTACAAACAACCATCAGATAATATCACCGTATTTCCTGTTACGTTGAAATATATTATACGAAAGACAGTTTGGCGAATTGACTCTTGAGTCTTGATTGACTTGATCTTTGTTTTGTTTCAATAAGTGCATAAAAGTTTTCGTTAATTCATCAGTAACAATTAAAATATTATTCCAATTTTTAGACGATATGAACTTGACTTTGACAAAAGCTGAAATTCAAGGTTAAATTTTTTTTTGGCCGATTTCTGTGCCTTTTTCTGATCGAAAAAAACTATTGTTTTTTCAGGGTCCTCTCATCCGTAGACACGAGTATGCACATTCAAAACATTTTTTATTAAGAAAATAATGAAAATCTATTGTGTAGTATACTGAATACAACAAATTTAGTATACAATATAATGATTAGTGTTTATTATTATTAATAGTAATATTATGATTTATCCAATATAAAATCGATTCTTAATTTATATTTTGAATAATTTAAATAAACAATTATGTTTATATCGAAGATAATCCGACTTATCGTGTATAGTAGTTTATTTTATACTTTTTTGACAAATTTAGACCCTAGTATCGAACTCCGTCGAACAATAAAAACTAGACAATTTTATTTTAGAGATTAAGACAGTTGTTCGTGATGTACATGTAAATGCAATCAAGAAACATAAACTTGCGCATTTATTCATGCAGAGACGTAAACTTTACCAGCTCGCTTAGTTATATCTAGTTTATTCTAGCACATTTACTTTAAAGAACAATGTAATAATGTATGAATATAACTTTTGATAGTTAATATTTATGCTACGCGCTAGAACTCACGTAGACCCTCTACGGTTCAACTACGAATTCTATGCATTGTTATGTTATAATTCCTAATTTCAGTGCTGAAGCGTAATTTAATTAAAAAATAGCCAAGCGTGCTAAATTCCGTTCCTAATTACGGAAAAATTAAACTCACCTAGATCCGCTTTTGTTTTGATACACTGAAAACAACGAAGGGGGTTAATGTAATTAGTATTTTTCTCTGCGAACGACTTTTCAACATTAAGCACGCCCCACCGTCCTTGTAATTACTTTAATTAGTTTAAAATGCAGTGAGAGTACTTAAGTTTAATTATTATTTATTCGTGAGGTGCTTTCGTTTAAATTGTTTAGTGTTGCTTTACTTAAAAGTGAGAACTGGCTTAAGCGCTGGTCTAAAGCATAGCATAGATTATAATCAAAAAGGGTTGGAGTTACCACCGAGTCGAATATGTTTCTGATCAATTTATATTTTTTTTTTGTAATATGTTGGACGTCGTCTGACAATCTGGATATTAAATGAGTGGTAAAGAGGAAAACGCCGTGAAGTTAATTCGCGTTCGGTCTGTGAATTTCCAAATATTTAAAAGACGTTTAGGTTATGACTGAGCTGTTAGCACCCGTCAAGCGAACGTGGCGAAAAAGAAAAACTTTAGATACCACGCGTATAATTACGATAATATCGATTTTTTTTTAAATTGTACAAATTCGTGATTCCGTAATGTACACGAGTAGAACACAAAAAAAAAAAACACTTTCTAGGCAACGCCGGAAGTTGAATCTGCAAGTAATGGTTAAACGCCTTACGTTAAGCGTTAGAGGTCCTACGTTCGAATCCCGGGGCAAGTTATTCTAACAGATTTTTTCAGTCGGGTAGGATACAGAAGTCTGATCAACTACATACCTGTAAATAAAACTAATCAGTGAAACGGATATAGAAATATGTTCGTCCCATGGCCCACGGGGAGAAATGAGTTACGGCTCGGACTTTCGGCCACAAAAACAGGCGACACAGCATTAAATATTTGAACATTAAACTTGAATACTTTTTTAAAACGAGCCTCTATCCATCACCAGTGTCCCAACGGAATTTGATAAATGATAGATGAAATAAATCTTCAAATGGCGACGGTATAATATTTCTTAGGAATCCCTGTGACGAAACGTAACATTAAACACGTAGACAGTTCAGGGTATCATAAATCTATTGTATTCGGTGGGCACATCGTATTTTACAGGTGAATCTCCCCCTTCGATAGCTAACGGTGAATGATTGTGTTGTAAAAATGTTTATTATTTTTTCCAACAAAAATTCACTTGAAACAAAAAATGTATTAAGTATTGTCTGTAATTTACACGAGCGCTACTAATAAAACTACTTCTAAGATGCCCATCCGATGAGTCAAGCCAAAAACATTCGTCTTGGCGAACCGAAACACGTTGTTAGGGAAAGTATTTTTTAGTAGTTGTATTGTGTGTGCATAGTTTAGACGAGGTAAGTACATGACTTTTAGCGGTTTTAATGCGAAA